AACATTACCCCCCTCTCTAGATTCGTCATCAGAGTCTCCACTGGGCTCGGTGCTCTTGTAAATATCCAGGTTCCTCGGTGGGACAGGGTGCCTGTCCAGGTTCCATGTTGTTATGGAATGGATAGCGAGGATGTAGGAGTCCGCACGAAGAGCACACCCAATGCCAGCACTCACTCTGAAGGTGACCATCAGTTTCGCATTTGGTACAGAAGTGCAGTCGGCAAGGCATGGCACCTGAAGGGGGAGTGACAATAGAGAACTCATGTTGTTCTAGACGTTCCTCCAGGTTGGCCACTTCGAGACGAGCGCGACATTGATCCATTTCCTGTTGAGCGCAAATAAGTTCGGCCCCTACTGATTGTCGTGCTGCCAGTAGTAAGTCGATTTTGGCATCTATGGCTCTGAAGCGATCGACTTCATTGGCAACTCCAGGGTCTTTGATATCCTGTAATGATGCCCAAAGGTTTTCCAAGAGGTGATCGTCCCGTGTCAGCAGATATTCCCAAGTGTCCTCCTCCCATTCCTTGTCCGATTGATTCCAATTCCCCACAGGTTCAGCAACTCAAAGTACGTTGGCCGGGGTCGTCAATATGCGGCGTAGTCCGAAGGCAGGATTTCCATTAATGGGAACTCCCATAGGAGGTCGAGTGACCGTGGTGGCATAGGCTCCAGGGAAGTGAGGGAATACGCATTCTAGAGGATCGACATCCTGGATAGGGGTGGAGGTGTTGAAGGGAATAGATCTCCAGGATCGAGTGACGTTGTTAGAGGGCTGTTGGATTACGTTGTCACTGTAGACTACAAACTCCTGTGGATCGCTGCTGTGTTCTTCTGTGGCCGTGACATATTCACTGGCATCAGCTAGTAGTCGTAGATTAGGAGCATGATCAAGGCTACCATTATCCGAGACGTCTGAGGCAAGAGGCGGCATACTTGGTGAATCAGTTGATGCAGCGAGGGGACTGTCAGGGTTAGGGGACGACAATGTATTCATAGGCGATGAAGATGGAAAAACCTGTGCGGGGGCAACGTGGTAGGATCCAGTAGTAGCTTCTGATGCCGGGGGAAGTTCTAGGGGCCCGGGGAACTGGTGTAAAACTACGGCGTCACTGCCGGACGAGTCTGGAGGTCCTGGGATAAGGAAAGGTCGTCGAGTGACATTTGGTAGGAAAGGGGGAAATGGGTAACGGAAACCGCCTTCTTCAAGGAACTCTAGAGAAGAGTCATCAGACTCCTGCTGAGAAGGAAAGCTCAGGATGGGACGCCTAGGAACTGGCATCTCTATTACTCCAGCTGTGAAGCGCTCTTCTAGGGTTTGGAGGTGGGAAGGGTAAGGGGTTGGTGCTCTTTGGGGTTCAGTCGCTGGAGAATTGTTGCGCCTAGGAGCCAAAGGACGACAGCACGGGTCCAAATTAGAAGTCTCATTGTTGTTCCTTGTGCGGTTGTTGCGCTCAGCAGGCATGAGGGGAATTCAAAAGGAAAATTGCTCTTGAAAAAACTGGTCCCAGAATACAAAAGGAGGCACTACTACGGACAAAGAAAGACCCCAGATACTACTCTTGACGCTCCCTGATGTACTCAAAGTATACTTGAGTAGGATTGTTGCTGTCACGGTTGGCAGCAATGACCGGGGTGGTCGTGATTGTAGGCTGGAGGGGGCGTTGGGCAGTAGCGGCTATGTTGAATGCCCACTGGTGCTCTCATTCGAGGTGTCGGATGGTGAGCCGAAGGAGGAGGGGGACGGTGAG